CCACCCAAGCTGAACAGCGAAGAGAAAACAGAATTTTAAAAAATGAAGATAGTTTAAGGGACCTTTGGGACAACATCAAGCATACTGACATTGACATGCTAAGGGTCTCAGAAAAAAAGAGAAAGAGAGGTGCAGAAAACTTATTTGAAGAAATAAGAGTTGAAAACTTCCCTAGCCTGGAGAAAGAAATAGACATTCAGGCCCAAGAAGCACAGACTCCCGAATAAGATGAGCCCAAAGAGGTATACATCAAGACACATAATTGAAATGTTGAAAATTAAAAATGGAGAATCTTAAAAACAAGAGAAAAGCAACTGGTTACATACAAGGGAGCCCCCCCCATAAGGCTATCAACTGATTTTTCAGAAGAAATTTTGCAGGCTGGAAGGGAATGACACAATGTATTCAAAACACTGAAAGAGTAAAAACCTACAATCAAGAATAGTCTACCCAACAAGGTTACCATTCAAAATTGAAAGACAGATTAAAAGCTTCCCAGGTAAACAAAGTTTAAGGAGTTTATCATCACTAAACTGGCCTTAAAAGAAATGTTAAAAGTACTTCTTAATGCAAAGAAGAAAAGTTCATAACTAGAAGAAAATCATGAAAGAAAAAAATTTCACTGGTAAAAGCAAATATATAATAAAGGTAGATCAACCACTTATGAAGCTAATATAAAGATTAAAAGACAAAAGTAGTAAAATCCATTACATCTACAATAATTAAGGGATTATTATTACACAAAACAAAAAGATGCAAAATATAATGTCAAAAACATAAAACGTGATGGGGCCAGAGTAAAAATGTAGTGCTTTTAGAGTGTGTTTGAATTTAAATTGCCATCAACTTAAAATTGAGTACCATATACATAGGACATTATATATGAACCTCATGTTAATCAAAAAATCAAAAATCTGTAATAGATATACAAAAAATAGAAAGGAATTCAAACATAACACTAAAGAAAGTCATCAAATCACAAGGGGAGACAGCAAGTGACAAAGGGAAAGAGAAGAAATACAACACAACTAGAAAATGACAGAAAGTCTTTATCAATAATTGCTTTAAATATTAATGGACTAAATGCTCCAATCAAAAGACACGGGGTTGCTGAATGTATAAAAAACAAGCCCTAGCTATATGCTGTCTACAAGAGACTTACTTCAGACCTAAAGACACACAAATACTAAAAGTGAAGGGATGGAAAAATATTATTCCATGCCATGGAAACAAAAGAAAGCTGGGGTAGAAATACTTATATCAGATAAAACAGACTTTAAAGCAAAGACTGTAACAAGGGATTACATAAAGATAAAAAAAGATCAATCAGCAAGAGGATATGACAATTATAAAAGCTATGGACAGAACATAGGAGTACCTAAATATATAAAGCAAACGTTAGTGGACATAAAGGGAGAAATTGACAGTAATAAAAAATAGTGATGAGCATTACCATGTTCAAATTTGCAAATTCTGTTGTGTTAGGGAAGAAGTACAGGTGTTTGACACTGGAGCTGTTTAAAGTATGGGTTCTGAAATGTGCAGCAATTCTAGCTACTCCATTACCAGTTGCTTATTCTTGTGGCTATGGAAACAAAAATTAACACCAGGCAGAAGAAATCAAGCAAAAAACCCAAAACTCATCTTTTATTATTAAAAGTGAAAAATAACCTTTTTTGAAACACCTTGATAGCTACTGAAAAAGGTCCCAGAAGTTACCACATCCCAATTATTTCCCAAGAGGAAAAAAATGCTTAACTTTTAGATAAAATAACCTGCTCTGAACATAATCATTTTGGAATGGTTATGCATTGTTAGGGTAATCTGTGATGGGTCTTCAGTGCCCATGCATGCTTTTGCTTGATATGCCAAGAATATAGGCTCTGACTACTCCTTAGTAAGAGTACCTATTTTTCATTTGCAGTGAGCAACACAGAGGAATGCAGAAGGCAGGGTTGTTGTTGCTCATTAATAAGTATTCTTCCACTCAGTGCTCCTCTCTGTTAATGCATCCAACTGTATATGCAGCCATTTAGGTCCACCTGTATTAGTCCCACATGTCCTCATTTCTATGGAATTTGGGGGCCAAGGAAAACAATAGATGCCTGAAGTTTTTGGCCACTGCTTTTGCCATGAGTTTTTACAAAGTCCTTTAAAAAGTCCAGGCACCTCATATCTTCTGTAAGCATCAGTAAAACAGTAACAGGCTACCTTATTAGCTTGATAGGATGGTAAAATTTCAGTCTTTTCACAGTTCTTGGCAGGCATTACCTACTAAAGTTTAAGATACGCATAAACTATAACTTAGCAATTCCACTTCTATGTTTATATTCAAAAGAATTCAGGCAACGTGTACTAAGAGCCTTGAACAAGAATGTTCAGAACTATTCATAACTGTATTTTAAACTTTATTCCTCATATTTTTGTTTAAATTTTCTTTTTAATCCAACCTCTTAAGGCTAGAATGATCTATGTAGTAATGGAATACAGTTGGCAATATCAGTATAGCTTACTGTTAGCAGAACATAGATACAAGTGAATACATATATACTTACAGATTGTATATACACAGATGGGTACACACATGTATTTCTATGCTCTGTCCATGAGTGGGGTCTAAAAGAAATGGTAACAGCAAGCATAGTTAGTAGCCAAACTGTGATTTCTAATGACCATTCTCCAATAAAAGGAACTTGAGCTTCTTGGAGAAATGGCTGATTCTAAGACTGGTACAAGAAATTATACATCAAAAACATGAGCCTGGAGCACTTCGTAGTGCCAGAAAGTAAGGAAGTGATTAAAAACAAAAAGAAAGGAAAAACCACACTGAGAAGAGTATGTCAAAAGAGTAGAGGAACCAAATGAAAAGAGATTCAAATGGCCAAAGCTGGAACAATCTGAACAGCAAACTAAATAAAATACTATTATATTATAATTCAAAGTATAAAATAGTCCATACTGATATAAACAATTGAATAGATTAACAAATGGGGGAAAAGAGATAGTCTCTTGACATTATCTCCAAGAGACACTGAGGAACCCTGATAAACACTAACTCAGTCAAGTGATCCAATAGTCATATTGACAGTATGTACCCTTGATATGATGTAGTCTTCTTCTTACTAATCAATAATCCCAGTCCAACCATGAGAAAAACACCAAATTCCAACAGCAGGGCATCCTACAAAATATCTGACCAGCACTCCTCAAAGCTGCCAATGTCCTCAAAAACAAAGAAGGTCTGCAAAACTGTCACAGCCAAGACAAAGCTAAGGAAACATTATAACTATATGGATGTGGTATACTGGCTGGGATCCTTGAAGAGAAAAAAGGACCTTAGATAAAAAGCCAAGGCAATCTGACTGATCTATAATCTTCAGTTAATAATCATGCAGTAGTATTTGCTCATTAATTGTAATGGAAGATACTAATAATAGGGGAAAGTAGGTAGAGAATAGAAATACTCTGTATTATTGTTTGAATTATTTTGTAAACCTAAAACTGTTCTAAAAAAGTCTTTTTTTTAAATCCTCTCTTTCAAGCTTATTAAAAGTCTTGTCCTGCAAGAAGACACTATCCCTAATCTCCTCAAATTAAATGAGCCCTCCCCTTCTTCAGAATCTGCCTTACAATACTCTGTTGAGCACTTAGAATTTGCCCAACAAAATTAAACATATTACATTTCCCCTAAATCATGTTTATTAATAGCAACCAGATTTGTATTCTCCATGTTATCTAATACTGAATTTATTGAAAACAAAAATTAGAAACCAACTAATCCAAGTGAAAGTCACTTTCAGTGATTCAGTAATATTTGCTAAGGCAGTTTCATTCTACTTTTGAATAACTAATAATTATAAAGTTCTTCCTGCTGGGTTGAACTTTTATAGTTTCTGCTCTATAATTTCCTCACTTAATGCATGAATCAGTGAGTAACAAGTTAACTAGCCCTATGAGAACAGAGACACCTTCTGTTTTACCTAATACTGTATCTCCAGCACCTGGCACATAACAGACACTCAAAAATTATGTTTTTGAGTGAGTAAATGGCTAGCTGGCTGGGAGAAGGGTTGCAACTTTTATTTCCCCTCAGACAATTTAACTTACAGTTAGCTAATGACAACCCACCTGACAATACAGTCACATTTATCATTTAAATCTTCATACCTTTATATGTAGGTTTTATAATAATTTAAATTAATTTAAATAAAGCTAAGGGAGGTTAAGTAATTTTGTGTAGTGAGAAAAGAAATGGTGTAGACAGACACCCAAGGCTGTACTGTTATCGGCTAGGAATGAATCAGAAAACCAGGGCTGAGGCAGCAAGGCTTCCCTCAGCGACTCAGGGGAAAAGCTCCTAGAGGAGCGAGCAAGCCGGGACTCAGCCCCTCCGGCGGTTAGGGACTCTGGGCACGTCACGTCACCTCTGGTTGGCCTACTTCCTCATGCAAAAATCAAAGGCTGTAACCCAAGGCCCTCTTAGGCCTTTCCCAATTCCATGGTCCTATTGTTATGGGGTTTGCCACGGTTTTGCTTTTCCTAAGTTTTCAAATTCAAATAAATATAACACTGCACAATAATAACCCCCAAATTGCTTTCCTGCTCCCTCTCCTCAGTTAGCAAGTGAGAGAGGTTGGCCAACAAGTTCACGGACCCTTCCATTCTTTACTTAGGATTTTTTTTTTCTGGGGGGTCGGGGGCAGAGGAGGGAAGAGGTCACGAACAACCCTAAAGTAAAAAACATCAAGTGTCAGGGTGGATGACAGGGCTTCTGAAAAGGAGGCCGTTTACACTACATGAGAAAACTGCAGAAGCCCCTTTCCATACGACTCTCCGAGGAAGAAAAGGTGGGGAGGATCCCCTAGCACCCCCGCTAAAGTACTGAGGTAAGATTTTATCCTGGAAAGTCTGGGGAAAAACAGCGGCAGAAGACCCACGAAAGAGAAATGTGAAGAGCCAGGTCCTCGGGAGCCTCACCCGCAAAGCGGTAAACACACTACCAGATCAGAAGGCCTGCCAGCTGAGCCCAAACGTCCAGAACCTTCCGCGAGCAGCGAGAAACGCAGCTGGGGGCGCAGAGGCCACGCGGAGTCTGGCGGCTCAACCCCAGCCCTCGCCGCCCGCGGAGCCTCCGCGCAGCCGCAGACCACCGCTGTGGACCGTGTTTCCCGCTCTTCAGCGGCAAAGTTTGCACGAACTAAGTGGTTAAGAAAAAGCGAGGGTTTTCATGTTAGACGTAGTTACCTGGAATAGATTTTTCACGGTTTTCTAAAATATAGGCTTAGTTCTCCAACTACTATGATTAACAAGATAAAATGAAAGTGGTCTCCCCTGTATCTATATTATGAAAAAGACTAAGATTCACATTTTCATTAATAGTTATGAATACAACATTTAGAAGCCTGTGTGTTTGTGCCTTGGGACGCCATTGTTTTCAGACCTAACTGAAGCTCAGCAATGTATTAGGCACTGGTGCTCACAACTATAAAAAATTAAAAAGAAAGAAAAAGAAAACCCACTATTTGCTTAGAACCTAAAGGTTAGAATACAAAACTATAAATGTGTCTTACTTTATAAAAAATGCAATACTGAAAAAAAAATACTCCAGGAAAAATCCTTTTGGGCACACTAGTAATATGGTTTAATTATTCCCAGAGGTGATCATTTTGTATATTTGGAGTTTTGTATAACTGAAACGATTAAAATTAGGTGCACTCTTGCTGCCCCTGTTAGGCAATTTGTTAACGGCAGGTCAGGACTGATCAGAAAGTCAAAACCTGGGTCCAGCCACACCTTGTGGGTTTGGGAACTCAAGGAATTGACTCAGCAGTTGGTGCGAGCAGAAGGGTTTGGTATTTCCAGAGGACCCTCTTGGAAGGGCCTCACGTCTCAGATAAAGCAGTATCTCCAAGATACTCCTGTACTTGGGTGTGTTTATAGGTTGATAGAACAGTGCCTAAAACGTAAGAACTCTGTACGTTTACCTGCTACCCTTACTATGATTCAAATGTTCCCTTAATGTTACCTGGCAATCGCCCAGTCCATTCATAGGTAACTGTTTCATACCTTTCCCTCTCCTCATATCTCCAGCACCTCTTCCTCATCCTCACTTTCAGCTGAAGGTCTTGCTTACTATTTAAATGAGACAAATAAAAGCATCCAAAAGTGAACTTTCATTGATCTCCACAACCACATCTACCCATCTACCATCCTCTGTATCCACAAGATTTTGCTTTTCCTCCAATTATAGTAGATGAACTACGTATGCTTTTTATAAGGCCAACCCTCCAGGTGGACACTAGATTCTCTCTCTTTTTGTCTATTCAAGAACATAGTACCAACAATTCTCTCCTGTCTCCATTACACTATCAATTTCCTCCACTGGACCATTCTCAACAGCAAATAAAGATGCTGTTATTTTGTCCATCTAAAAATGTAGTGATCTCACTTCCCACTCAGCTAACCATCCCATTTCTCTGCTCTCCTTTACAGCAAGCAAAACTCAAAAGGATTGTCTATAATTTATTTCTAAAACCTCTTCTCTCATCCTTTCTTAAACACCCCAATCAGGCTTTTTCATTTTCACCATTGCCACAGAAATTGCTTTTGCCAAGGTCATTGCTAAATCCAGCAGACAATTTTCAATACTAATTTTACTTGGTCAATCAGCAGCATTTGTTGCAGTTGATCACTTCCTCCTCTTGGAAACATTTCTTCCCGTGGTTTCCCCATACTGTGCTGTACTGGCCACTTTTCAACATCCTTTATTGTTTTTTCCTCAATACGCAAACTCTTGGGAGCACCCCAAGTACAGTTCTTTTCTGGCTATATTCACTCCCTTGGTGATTTCACCAACTCAGAGCTTTAGAGATAATCCTTAAACTGATAGATGCTGAATTTCTATCTCCAGCCTTAGCCTTTACCCTGAACTCCAGACTGGTATAAACAACTGCCTATTTAATATTTCCACTAGCAGACATCTCAAATTTCACATCTGAAATTTGGAACATCTGACTTCACCCTGTAAACCTGTACCATCCTAGTATTCCCAATCTCAGTTAATAACTCACATTTTTCCTATTGTAAAGTTTAAATAGTTTGTCTGTCTCTCATATGCCCCATCTCATCCATCAGGAAATCTTGTTGCCTGTACCTTCAAAATGTATCTGGAACCTGAGCACCTCCCTGGTCTGAACCACCATCATCTCTCACCTGGATTATTGCAACAGTTTCCCTGTTTATGCTTTGCACTCCAAGGTCTTTTTTCAACATAGCAACCATGGTAATCCTGTTAAAATAGGGATCAGAATTAAAGCTAAAGTCTTTATGATGACTTGTAAGGGCCTAAGTGAGCCAGTTTTCCTATTACATGTCTGACCCTTTCTGCTACTCTGTCACTTACTTCCTCTTTCCAGCCACATGAGCTCCCTCTCTTTCTTCATATCTGCCAGGCATGCTTTTGCCTTTGCACCAGCTTTTCAGTCTAAAGTCCTCTCCTCCCAGATGTAGTCATAGTTCACTCTCTCTCCTCCTTCAGTTCTCAGCTGAACTATCTTCCCAATAAAGATCACCCTGACTTCCTCATTTAAAATTGGAACCACCCCTGATTCTTCTCAGCCTGCTGTTTTTATAGTAGCAATTGTCACCCTCTAACATACTATATAATGTACATGCTTATTATTTTTATTGTTTATAGCTTTTCTCTCTCACTAGAATTAAACTCCACCAGAGCAGAGACCTCTCTCTGTTTTGTTTACTGATGAATCTCTAGCATGTAGAACAATATCTGGTACCTATTAAGCACTAATAAATATAGTCAGCTATTGAAGTATCATTCATCCTAACATATAAAGCCTTTTATATTTATAACATACCAGATTTCATTGAATGGCAGTAGCCAGAAGATGAATAGCATCAGTGGAGCTTCACTTTTTATTAAGATTTTTTTAGCCATATTACTTTTAAGCTTGAACTAGTTTATTTCAAGCTTTGGTCTTCTAGTCTAGGCTAATATGTCTGAGGGGCATTTACTAGATATAAATACTGAACAGCTAACTCTGCTATCAAGTTTTTATTCAGGAGGCTTAAGTGTTACAATTCATTCATTACCAGAACAAATAAGTGTTTGCCTTGTGCTTTCAAAGGTTTCTGCACAATGCAGGCCCAAATATATTGAAATTGAATGCACAAATATATTTGGCAACTCTGTGACAGCACAACTCCCTGATTCACAACTCCTTAGAATTCCTGCACAGAAATATGTTCAATTTACATTCCTGCTAATTGCCAGAACATTCCTAATTCAGCAACTGTGAGAAAGTTATAATGAAAAATTAATTCCATAAATTATTGATGACTGGATTTGAAAATTTAAACTTCAACTTGAAAGCACAGAATCAATAAAAATATATATTTCATAAGCCTTGCAATGCCATATTTTCACATTACTTCCTGAATGACAAGCTGTTATAAGACTATGCAAAGTACATAGCTTAATGTTTTTGTGAGATGCCTCAGTCTCATGAGCAGCAGAAAACCCTCAAGTCAGTTAATGGCTTGAATTCTTTGATAGGTCATGAATGTACCTCAGTATTTTTTCCTTTTAGTCAATTGCAAATATTGAATGAGCATTTCCTTTTGAGGCTCCACTGTATGTTTTGTTATCTGCTTCATTCCTGATGTTAGGACCTTGATGTAACCTGTCAAAAGGAAACACACACACATACACACACACACATGCATGCATGCACACAAAGACAAAGGAAATATATAGGAAATCTGATGAAAAAAATGGCTGTTTTCAAATCTAGCCTTTCACCACTTTTCTTTGATATGGAAAACTGACATAGTACTGTAGTCTTAAACCTTGACTATATATATGAATTTTTTTATTAAGGTATCATTGATATACACTCTTATGAAGGTTTCACAAGAAAAACAAAGTGGTTATTACATTCACCCTTATTATCGAGTCGCTCCCCATACCCCATTGCAGTCACTGTCCATCAGTTTAGTAAGATGTCACAGAGTCCCTATTTGTCTTCTCTGAGCTACACTGTCTTCCTCGTGACCGCACACACACCAAGTGCACCAATAATGATACCCCACAATCCCCTTCTCCCTCTCCCACCCAGTCCCTTTGGTAACCACTAGTCCCTTCTTGGAGTCTGTGAGTCTGCTGCTATTTTGTTCCTTCAGTTTTGCTTCTTTGTTATACTCCACAAATGAGGGAAATCCCTTGGCATTTGTCTTTCTCTGCCTGACTAATTTCACTGACCATAATACCTTCTAGCTCCATCCATGTTGTTGCAAATGGTAGGATTTGTTTCTTTCTCGTGGCTGAATAGTATTCCATTGTGTATATGTACCACTTCTTCTGTATCCATTCATCTACTGATGGACACTTAGGTTGCTTCCATATCTTGGCTATTGTAAGTAGTGCTGTGATAAACATAGGGGTTCATAAGTCTTTTTGAATCTGAGAAGTTGTATTCTTTGGGTTAATTCCTAGGAGTGGAATTCCTGGGTCAAATGGTATTTCTATTTTTAGTTTTTTGAGGAACCTCCAAATTGCTTTCCACAAAGGTTGAACTAGTTTACATTCCCACCAGCAGTGTAGGAGGGTTCCCCTTTCTCCACATCCTTGCCAGCATTTGTAATTCCTAGTCTTTTCTATGTTGGCCATCCTGACTGGTGTGAGGTGATATCTCATTGTTGTTTTAATTTGCACTTCCCTGATAATTAGCAATGAGGAGCAACTTTTCATGTGCCTGTTAGCCATCTGAATTTCTTCTTTGGAGAATATATATAAATTCTAATTTTTAAATGATTGAATTTAAACAATCTATTGTTTTGAAAACAACAGGCTCAAATTAAAAAATGGCTTAAACATTTTTAATGTAATTCAGCTTAAAAATAGCTGATTATTTGGCTTCAAAAACTTCTATTTCCAAATAGGCTTGAGTATGTATGTATATGGTTTAGATAAATCTAAACATATTCAGTTCTGTACTCAGACACCAGGATAAAATTTTTGCCCTCTCCCACCTCACTGGGCTTATTGGTCCTTTTTAACTTAAATCTCTCCTAGTTCTCAGATGAGTCTAATGGCAATTCTGTATGCTTTAGCTACTGTGGTTTAATGTGATTATTAAGTATAGCTGAAATTCAGTGGTGAATTCCTCAAATTTTAGACACTGAGAGATCTTATTTTGGGCAAGGGAAACTGTCTTCAGTCCTCAGTCATAAAGTAAAAACAGCTAAGATGAAAACAACACAACCGCAAAAACAAAGTCTAAGAACATAAAAATTCCTGAATTTAAGGTGTTGAACTGGATAAAAAAATTCCGACGTAAGCTTCCCCTTCAAAGCCTACTCCAGTTTCATCATATGAATCAGACACTGTCTGAAAAGGGATAAAAGATGCATAGTATCTATCTCTTTGCCCCCTGCCTCAGATCAACCATCTGCACCAAATGGAAATTTTGTGGTGTGACCTTGCCCGGTACACACTGCTTTTTGAGGCATCCAAAGTTGTACTGATCACCTCTTCCTCTCTTCCTCCCTTTACCTTCACTATCCCTCTCCCACTCGCTCTACATCTATAGAGTGAAGAGCACCAAGAAAACGGCTGGGTAGGAAGGAGGGAGCACACTGTATGTTGAGAAATGTAGTGTCGCAATATATAGCACTGAAGGGAGGGCTTGAGAATAGATGAACCTAAATGCAGTGCAAACTGAGAGTAGTGTCGTTTTTCCTGTGTTCCATCATTTCAGAGTAACAGATGATCAGCCAGTGGGGTAGGAAAACCAGCAGAGCAAAACTGCAGTAGGTCAATGCCTAGTAGACATGGAAATGGATTGAAATAAGAACTGACAGACATACAAGCGGATAAGGAACAGGACCAAGAGAAACACACACATCCCATTTGTTGATAAACACTAAGTCTGAGGACTCTTACTTAGGGAAAGCTGAGTTAAAGAAGAAAAAAGTTAACATGGAGCCTATGAATAAATACTTTAGAACAAGGGACAGAAAACTGCATCATGAAGACACAAAGGAAAAAGCATAAAAAGGATTTACTGCAGGATCTAAAAGAAAACTT